TTCTTTTTGAGTTAAATGTGTTTCTTGTATACAGCATACTGTTGGATTTTGTCTTGATCCACTCTGCCAGTCTGCTTCTTTTTATTGGATGAATTGAGGCCATTTATATTAATGGTTATAACTGATATGTATTGGCTTATCTTTGTTGTTTTATTTTCCTTCTGTTGATTCCCTACTTTTCCCTCACTTTAATTGCTTGCTCTGCTTGGTGGTTCCTTTCTATTGTTGTTCTTGAAATTGTAGTCATTTTTATCTCTTTCTAGAATATCTTTTAGTACTCTTTACAGGGTTGGTTTGACACATGAAGTTCTTCAGTTGTTCTTTGTCATGGAAATATTTTATTTCTCCATTAATTTTGAGGGATAGTTTTGCAGGGTACATCAATATGGGGTGGAAGTTGTTTTCTTTCAGGACCTGAAATACTTCACTCCAAGTTCTACATGACTTCATGATTTATGTTGGGAAATCTGCTGATTCTGATTGGCTTTCCTTTGTAGTTGATCTATTTCTTTTCTCTAACAGCTTTTAATATTCTCTTGCTAAATTTCTGGAATCTTGATTATTATATGTCTGCAAGTAGATTTATTTTGGTTATGGCTAATTTGAGTCCTATATGCCACTCTTATTTGTAGGTCAGCTTCTTTTTCCATGCTTGGCAAATTTTTTGCTATTACTTCTGCAAATATTCTTATTATGTCATTTGTGTGGCTTTCTGCAATTTCATTGACACCTATTAGTCTTACATTGTTTTTCTTTACATCATCCTCCAGCTCCTGAATTGTTATTTCCTGGATCCTTGTATTTTCATGAGATCTTTTCTTTCGAGATCTTTAGCTACAATGCTGTCTTCAAGGTCTGAAAGTCATCTTCAGCTTCATTCAAGTGGTTTTGCCAGCTTTCAATGGTATTTTTAATTTCCTGGATAACTGTTTGAATCTCTTTCATGTGTTCTAATTCTTTCCTATATTGTTCATTCAAAGTTTCCATCATTATCCTGTGCGCCTGTATTTTTTAATCAATGTCTTCTTTAGTTGTGCTGAGTAATTCTTTCATTACTATTGTTATTTCTTTTTTACCTGAGAGATTATTTCTGATCTGATGTCTTCTCTGGCCTGGTGGAGTTGTTTCTTTTCTTCAGTTGCTATCATTTCAGAAATTTCAGCTGTGTGACTTCCAAGCTCTCCTATATCAGTGTTTCCTGGACTTGTTCCAGGTGTGGTAGAGTTCTGAGATTTCATTTTCCTCCTGTCTTGTCATTTTCAATACTGCAGGTGAAATGTTGAGCCTCACACTTCTCAGGCAGCTCACCAGAGGTTCTGAAGTTTCCTGCATTTCCTGGGTCTCAGGCTTGCCCCTCAATGGCAGCAGGAGGTAGAGCACTGAGTGCAACCTCTCTCAGGCAGCTCGTGGAGCATAGCTGGCTTTCTCTGGGCTCAGATGCACCCTGCAATGGTGGTAGGAGGTAGGGTGCTGGGTCCAGGCTTCCCCAGGCAGTTCACAGAGTGCACCAGGCTCTCCTGGGCTCAGATACACCCTGTGATGACAGCAGGGAGCTACCACCCTCTTCTTGGCATGAAAATGCTGCTTAATCTGGAATGAGAACATCTAGAAAGTTATGAAGATCACATAAAATCAGGAATATGAGTGCACTTTTTTCAGTCTCTAAAGTTGGATTTTGCTTGCACCTTCTTTAAGCATTCCATAGGATGAGGTCATCCAAATTATAGCACTCTGCTACTCCACAATGTTCATTTTCTTAGGGTCAAGATATCATTTGGGCCTCTTTGTCAGAAATATGCTCCTGCGGGATTACCACTTTTATTTTTCATTTGCTTTTCTTTTATTTTAAAGAGAATAGTTAAAAAAAAGAACAATAGCAAAATACGAAGCAAGGACATTAAAAATGATATGGGGTTTCAAGCCAAATGATAGGGATTAACAGTGGTTGTTATAGTACATATTGTTATCTTCAACAAAGTTGCTCAGATTACCAGATGTAAGAATGGAAGACTGATCAAAATATTAAAGAGAATAAGAAAATAATAATTTATAAAACATTAGAGGCAATACAGAGTTTCACTAGACAGGAGGGTAGGAATTCACCAATGGTTGTTATATTGCATA